GGCCTGAATATCTACTTCCAAAAGCGTCACCACTGAGAACACCATGGAGCTTAATTTCTGTTCCAACAAACATGAGTCACCTTCAGTCAGAGTCAACTCAACTACAACTGTTGGGGTTTTGAGGCAAAAAGTATAAAATATTGGTCTGGCATTCTCAAGAACTTAGTCCAATGCCAGAAACATAAAAAGCCCTTATCAAGTTACCATTAAAATAGCTGTGCATTATATCATTATTTATGCATTAATCATAATGTTACCCTAAAAAAAAAATGTAAATACCAGGAGACGTTCAGACAAAAAAAGTAAGAGAAGATGATCTCACAGAGGGCTAGGAGTTGGGAGTCTGCCTCCCTTTCTCTCTTTGGTGCAGGGAACAGTGTTCAGACCCTCAGGCTACCCCCCCTGGAGAGCTGAACAATGAATCACTCACCTCAACCACAAGAACTCTGCAAGTGGGGAGAGGGGACAAATGCCTGATTGTTCTTGAAACAAAGGGTCCAAGCCACACTTGCAACTTTCCAGTTGTACTTAATCGGTCTTCAGCCCAATTCGTTTCTCTCCCTTCCTGCTTCTCTCTGCCTCCAGTTATGTTTGTTGTTCAAACTTCTCAAACCCACTGTCGTTGGATGGACTCCAGCTCACAGTGAGTTTCCATCAGGTGTTCAAGACTGTAAGTTTGAGGTTGCTCATTTTTCAGTTGGTGAATTCAAACTGCCCAGCTTTTGGTTATCAGTATGTTATGTGCTGCTGTGTACCTTAGATCAGAGCCGACACATAGGTGATACTCTGGCAGGTTTCCAGAAGCTCAGGGGAAGAACGCCCATCCTCTTCCCTCAGAGTAGCTAGTGGATTCGAATTCTGTGCCTTCAGGATTACAGCACAGATTCTTGCCAATAGGCCACTGGCCCAAATTTTCAGCAATGCAAAAATTAAAGTCCTAGCTATTTTTTGGCCTAATCAGAAGAAACTTTAGAGTCAGCAACTTTCTCTTTCCCAGTTATCCCCTCTGTTTTTATTCTACTCTTTGACACCCCTCTCCTGTGTAAAAGAGTTTCTGGGGGGGAGAGGGAAACACCCCCAAACCAGAAAATAGCAGACACTTTTGAAAACAGGGCCTGTTCTCTGACTTCTTAAATCTAGAGACTATAAATATGAGCTGGTGACTAGGTTGATAGATGCTAATTTGTCTGTCACTGATTCTGTTGCTGTAGCTTTTCACTGGCCAGAGCTCAGACACCTAGGTCTTCTAAAGCAACACTTCCTAACCCTGTTGCTAACGTCTGAAAATGAGGAATCTAGTGCACAGAAAGGCAATGTAAGTTGCTCAATGATGTAATATTCTGAGCAGGAAAGGGAAGAAACATTCACTTAGTGGTAGAAGGTGCTGTAAGTCCCTCAGCAAACTGCTAATAGCTGGGCTGCAAACTGAGAGGCTAATAATGGCTGGAGTCCACCCAGAGGACCTCTCAAGACAGATTTGACATTAACTTAGGGGGGGAAATCAGCCATTGAAAAGCCTATGGAACAGAGCTTTACTCTTAACACCCATGGGGTTACGAGGAATTAGGGTTAACGCAAAGTCAACCAGAACTAAGTGCAGAGCTTAACGTGGACTATCACTTAAGAATGTTTCACAATACACCGTGGGTGTTCTCTGGTGAAGACATGAAGAAAATAATCATTTGTGCATTAAGGGCTTTGATAGATCAAGGAATGGAAAGTATTCTGCTGTTTATGAAATGTCAATACCCCTACAAGTTTCCATCTGGCCTAAATCTAGGAAGACAGCAGTGCGGGCCTCTCCACCAAGCTGCACATAGGCACCTCATAGTGGACAAGTCCAGAGCAAGTTCATTGCTAAACAAAGCTTTTCTTCTCCCTCTGCATTCCTTCTCTTGGCTATTGGTACCACCATTCCCTAGATCCCAAAACTTAACTACCACAGTTGGGCTTGGCTGGTCCTCTCCTAGCCATCATCCACATAATTGACTTCAAAACCCATTCTAAAACTCCAATCTGCTTATGCCTCTACCCTAACCTTCTTGAAACACCACAGTGGGTCACTCTTGTCTTTAAAGTCTTTGACATGGCATGATTTTATAATTCAGATCTGGCCTCTTGCTTCTGGGCCTATAAAAACAGTGTGGGCCTGGGAGTGGCAGCATCTTATAAATTCTTGAGAGGGAGAGAGATTCACTATCAACAGCACACGTCCAACAGTGATTCCAGTGAGATGCTCCTCAAGTGGAGACGTTTTTCCAATTCTGACACCAGTCATCCCTCCTAGGAAGCACTCTAACTCTGTTGGACTTGGGAATGCATTGCAATGGCCACACAGAACTTGTAGACCATAATCACAACCATAGGGTTTATTAGAGAATTAATGGAATACAACCCAGAACTGAGAACAACTCATGACATGGTTTTTCAGCCAGGTGATTTACCTCTCTTCTCTGTTGGGCAGGCCTTTCCTAGCTCTCAGCTTCATGGCCTCTGCCCTGCTCAGTCAAGTGCTACATCACCTTTTAAAATCTATTAACATAAGTGCCCAGTGGAACCCTAATCTCTAAACAAGCCTGGGTTCAAAGGTGTTCAACTCTAACTCCAAGCGTCAACAAAAGTAGCTCCCTGGCAAATGCCTTGAAAGCACCTATTCTGCTGGAAAGCTCCTTCCCCTCAAGATTCTCAGCTCTCTCGCCCCACAGGCCAAGAAGCCCCCAGTGCTCTCTCTAGGTCGGCTGCTGTTTCTGCCACGTTTACTGCCACTTTGTCTCGCTGTTTCTTCTCACAGTCTCAGCTCTCTCTCCCATTGTCTTCCAGGATTACAACCCCCTCTTTTCTGGGTGAAAAAAATGTCAGCACATGGATCTCAGGTGCAAATAATACACTGACTCCTGGCTGTTCACTCCAATGAAATCTCCCTCCACTAGCCCTGTTTGTTTTTGTTGCTGTGGTGTGTTGTCCAGTTGGAACTGACCCATAGCTGACCCTCCAGCAGGTGTTCAGAGGCATGGGAGGAGAGTGTCCATCCTTCTCCCACAGAAAAGCTGATGAATTCAAACCAGATGCCTTTGAGATTGCAGTACAGTTTCTTACCACTAGGCTGTCGCCCTGAGATGGCTCATTTTAAGTCTGGCAAGGTGGTAAAAATATCTAATCTCCATATCTGCATTCTACACACCTAATTTTCATGGTCCCAAGTACAAATAGAATGCACCATAAAATTAAGGCTGGTGGAACTTCATGTCACTTACTTTGAGTCTGTTACTAGGAGAAGCCAGGCCCTAGATAGAGAAGATCATCCTTGGTAAAATAGAAGGTCATAAAGAAAAATTCTTAACCCAATGGAATGACATAGTGGCCTTAAGCACAGTAACAATTGTAAGAATGTCATAGGCCTGGGTACCAGCTCAATGGGAATGAAAAACAACCACCTCACAGATGGATCACATAACTTACACTATCAGCAAGCTATCCAGTCCCAAGCAGCCCACATTTACATAATCCTAGCTGGACAGTGACTAGGGATGAAAGAAAGAGAACTGATGCCTTTGAGCTGCAGTGCTGGAGAAGAGTGTTGAATATACCATGGACTGCTAGGAGAACAAACAGATTCATCCTGGAGAGGGTGAAGCCAGGCTGCTCCTTGGAGTCAAGGATCCTGAAACTTCGTCTGACATACTTAGGACATGTTGCAAGGAGAAATCAGTCCTTGGAGAGGGACATCATGATTGGGAGGTTGGAGGGACAGTGCAGGAGAGGAAGACCCTCGATGAGATGGAGCGATTCAGTGATTGGGATGGCAGAAGTAGGTGTGTCAGAGACAGTGAGGTTGGCCAGGATAGAGCAGGATTTAGGGCTCTTGTACATGGTCACGATGAGTCGCAAGTGAGTCGATGACACATAACAACAACAACAACCCAGCCATAAGGCAGCTCTGGTGTTCTATTGGTCAGAAGTTCACTGGCAAAACAAAGGTACACAGTTTGAATCCACCAGTTGTTCCACAGGAGAAATATGGCAATCTCCCATGCAATTAACTGCCTCTGAAAACCTGGGGGAGGTCAGCCATGGGTCAGTTTCGAGTCAATAGTACACAGCAACAACAGCACAATCATGTGGTAGGACTTACAAAGACTACGGCTAAAAGAATCCCGTCAAGTACTTCACTGTGTGTCAGTCCCCTAGTACAGCTTCCCGGTGGCCATGTACCAAGTACACTGCACTCGGCCGCACCTCCAGGCTTCTGGCTCTGCTACTGTCCCTATCTTAGTACTTTACGTGGATCCCCTGCTCCTTCACTTGGTTAACACTTGGGCATTCTAGCAACAAGCTAGATTACAACAAGCTAGGATTACCCTTCAGGTCTAGGTCGGGGCCTCCAGGCAATCTCCAGCCAAAAAGAGCAGGAAGTGGTTCTCAAGTCACATATGTGCTTTAAAATTTTCTAATTAACATCTTTTAAACAGAAGGAGAAGTTGATAAAATTAGAATAATGCATTTTAGTCAACCAAAATGTCACAAATAATATCACATTGATATGTAATCAATATTTTAAACCCATTAATGATATGCTTTAGTCTCTGTGAAGTACCCTGGTGGTACAACAATTAAACACTAGGCCAATAATCAAAAGAGCAGCAATTCAAACCTATCCAGTGGCAGAAAGATCTATTAGTTAGCTGTGCATTTTTAAAAAACAACAAAAACATACAATTCCGAAAACTCTATAAGGTTAGTTCTACACTGTCACACGATGACAACATTGTTGTGTTGTTATGTGCCATTGAGTTAGAATTGACTCATAGCTGACTCTCCAGTGAGTTTCCAGAGGCTGTAAATCGTTTGGGAGAGGATTACTCTTCTTTCCCTTATGAAGAATCTGGTGGATTCGAACCATGTGCCTTTAGGTTGGTAACACAACTCCTTACCAGTGTAATTCCTTACCACTAAAACCAGTGGAGCATAGTCCCATTCTCCTGACACTCTCCTCTTTGAAGTCTGTCACAGAAAGCTTTGCCAAGATGATCCACGGCTTGAAGGTGGAACACCTGACAGATGGTGTTATTCAACGGAGCAAGCGGATGATTCTGGATACTCTGGGCGTTGGACTGCTTGGAACGAGCACAGAGGTGTTTTACAAAGTCAGCCAATACAGCAAAGTAAGATGCTCCAAGTCCACTTTAGACATCATGCTGAGAATGTATGCATGTCCAGACACCCACGAGCATGGCTAGAGCTCTTGGTGTGCATTCTATTTACCCTACTCTTCACTTATACGTAATAACTCAGTGTCTGTGGCACTGCAGTAGATAATTTCATGCTTTACCATCTTAGACGTAGTAGTCATCCCGATATTGAAGTCATTGTCTTAAGAGCATATATTATTATTATCTCATAGTTCCATTACTATGGCTGAAAACACATTTGTAACGGAGAGTACACAAGTACTCCAAGCACATACCTCTTACAGAGACTTTAAGATTCTTTGGGGGGGAAAAGGCTGCTGGAGCACTCTGAGCAGAGTGTGCATGGGTATATGAAAGATGAAGTCATCCCTTTCTAGAGATGTGCCTTCGTAGACAGCTAGTGTGCCTTCCTTGATATTTGCTCTAATCCTCATCTAAGGAAGATCGTTACCAGTGAAAACCCCCAAGCTCAATGCCCTCGATAGATGGCTTCTGTATTAGAACCCAAGACTGAGCCATAGCATGGCTTCTCCCTTCTGTGAAATAGTTGTGGATTCCTCTACAAGAGATAGAGTAATCCACTGATTAAGTTTTGACTCTTAAGGAAGGGGTTGAAATAAGATCTAATATGCCTATGATCATGAACAATTTTGGGGATAACAACTTGGTCTGTTAGATCTATCCTCTCTTATTATATCACTTCTTTTTCTTCTGTTCCAGATCTACACTTCCAACTTATCCAGCACTGTTTGGGGCCAGCCAGACTTCAAGCTTCCACCAGCATATGCGGCTTTTGTTAACGGTGTAGCTGTAAGGAGGTTTACCAGTCTTTTCAATTGCTAGGTGGTTGCAGTAATTTCAGAGCCAGGAAATCTCTCCGAAATGATCTAATTACCAGGGTTTTATACATGAGATCCCCGAAGTTCAGAAAGATGAATTGGCCTGTCCTCAACTGTATGTAGTAATTTCAGTGATGACTTTCAGACAAATTGTGAAGTGGAAGAAATGCTTAGGTAAAAAAAAACACCCTCATGATGCCCAGGTTCTAAATCTTGAGTCTGGATAGATAGGGAAGGAGTGAGGGAAATAGGTACATCAGTCTCTCTCTTTCTTTCTCTTTAAGAACCAACTCATAGCTGACTCTCCAGCAGGCTTTCAGAGGTTATAAATCACAGGCGAGATTGTCCATCTTTCTCCCAAAGAGTAGCTGGTAGATTTGAACCACCCACCTTTGATTTAAGAGGAAAACTCCCTATTTCTTAGGCTAACATGATAAAAAAAAAAAAAAGAAAAGGGGGGAAAAAAGACAATCCAACGCCACTGAAGTGATTTCAACTTGTAGTTTCCCTCAATGGGATTTCTGAGGCTGTAAAGCTTCATAGGAGAAAACTGCCCATGTTTCCCTGCTAATTACTTGACTGCTGTTACCATGGGTGTTGATTATGGACCCAAGTGAAATGAAATTATTGACAACTTCCATCTTTCCTCCTAAAAAATCCCATGGAACATTCTGACACATAAGAGACAGGGTTCACTTAAGCACAACTAGCTGGTTGGCAAGGAGCTCAGATGGCTGAGTCTTTGGAAACTGCAGTGCAAGCCCAAAGGCCATGCCTCTCTGGTGAACTGAGCCCACCAGAGGGTCCTCAGGAGAATGTCAGGCAGTCTCCTCTCACACGATGTATAGCTTTGGAAGCCCCACTGCAGGGTCATATGCTGACTCTGAGGCCGTGACTTTTTACTTGGGTCAGTTAGGTAGCTCTTGTGGCCTTGTATGTAGGGAGCTGTGCTGCTCCCAGGGCTACAGCAGGGAGAGTTTTAACAACTTGCACAAGATCCCAGCTCCTTATAAATAACAAGATGCTCTTTAAAGTCTTGCCCATCTCCTGGCACAGGGACAGCGTGTCCCAGTGTCCAGTCATGTGACGGACAAATAATGATATTCATGGGGTTTATTTTCAGAGAGTCAGCTCTGAAACCTTCCCAAGTTAAATCTTATTGCTAAGACTTATGTACATATGTCTAAACACCCGTCCCTACAGTAAGTCCAAAAGCTATTACGTTCAGTACCAAAAGCCACTGCACTCAGGAAAGAACGTTTTGTCTCTGTTCTGTTTTGGCTTACACAGATTCACTCAATGGATTTTGATGACACATGGCACCCTGCCACCCACCCTTCTGGAGCTGTCCTTCCTGCCCTCATGGCTTTATCAGAAGCCCTGCCTCAAAGCCCAAAGTTCTCTGGCCTTGACCTGCTGCTGGCTTTCAACATTGGTATTGAAGTGCAAGGCCGCTTAATGCATTTCTCCAAGGAAGCCAATGACATACCAAAGAGGTATGGAGAGAACTTAGCCCATGAAAACCAATACATCCTCTGACTTAGCAGTTGGCCAAGTTAAGGACAGTGACATTAAAGCTGGCTGATAAGTCAACTTATCAGTCACACCGTCAGCAAATGCAATGGGTTTGAAGTTCTTAACTGTGCAAAACAAGAGTCCAAGCACAGTGAAGAGCATGTCACTAACAAGAAGACATATACACTTTGGTTTTAGACCCGGAGACTTTATTTTCCTCTTTATCCACTTCTGTTTACCTACTAAGGCTGTTTACCTACTTCTCTGTGAGCAATGATAGGATAGTTTTATTTGCAGAAGTCCGTCCTTGCTTTCTGACACCATCTCACATCTTACATCCATCCGTTATACAAAGGAAGAGCTAATAAATAATTTCCTTTAGGTTTAGAAAGTCAATCAAGGAACAAGGACCCTAAAATAAACAAAGAACCCTCACCTCAGATGACTCTTGTCATTGCAGTATCTAATCCTCAAAGCAGAATATACTTGATCTTCACTAGTGCCCTTCAGGTGGGTGAGAATATTCAGAACTTCCTGAATCTGATTGTGCACCCCATAGTCCAAAATTGGTCAAATGTGGGCTGCTGTTGTCGTTAGGTGCTATCACGTTGTCTATGACTCATAGCAAGCCTTTAAAAAACAGATCTGAATCAAAATGCTGACGTAGACTCTACTGTTAGCACATAAGGAAAAGTAGGTACAGGAACATTTAATAACCTTCCTTAAACTTCATAGCTGATCAAATGACAGGGAGCCCTGGAGTGGCACAAATGGTCAGAAGCAAAAGATTGGACACTTGAGTTCGCCCAGAGGTCCTCAGAAGAAAGACTTGGTGATCTAATACTGAAAACTAGTAACTCACTTTAAGGGTAGTTTGTGGTGGTGTTGCTGCTGTGTACTGTTGATGGGAATCTTCTCCCAGCTGACCCAGCAGTGGTTTTCAGGGGCAGTAAGTTTACACAGGTGGAGACTGTCATTTTTCTCCCAGACAGCAGCTAGTAACTTTGGGTTGGCAGCACACCTCTTTACCCACTAAGTTCTGCTGTGACGCATTTAGGGTCATCACGAGTCATAACAGACGCAGCAGCATCTAAGTGAGTTACTAAGGGATCGTTAATAATGGGGAAAGTTTGCAAATCTCCAACTCTGCTCCTTTGCTTTTCAGATTCCATCCACCCTCAGTGGTAGGAACCCTGGGCAGTGCCGCTGCTGCATCCAAGTTTCTAGGGCTCAGCTTGACCAAGTGCCAGGAGGCCCTGGCCATCGCTGTGTCCCACGCCGGGGCCCCCATGGCAAACGCTGCCACTCAGACCAAGCCCCTCCACGTTGGCAATGCCGCCCGGCATGGGGTCGAAGCTGCTTTCCTGGCAATGCTGGGACTGCAAGGGAACAAGCAGATCCTGGACACAGAGGTGGGGTTTGGAGCCTTCTATGCCAACTACTCCCCCAAGGTCCTTCCAACCCTGGAGTCCCACACTTGGCTGCTGGACGAGCAGAATGTGGCCTTCAAGCGTTTCCCTGCACACCTGGCCACCCACTGGGTGGCAGATGCAGCCGCATCTGTGAGGAAACACCTCGTGAGAGATGGAGCCCCTCTTCCTGTTGATAGCATCCGAAGAATTGTTCTCAGAATTCCAGACGTCCGCTATGTAAACAGGCCCTGCCCAGACTCAGAGCATGAAGCCCGCCACTCTTTCCAGTACGTGGCCTGCACCACACTGCTGGATGGGACAGCCACCGTCCAGTCGTTTCACAAAGCCCAGATTGACAGACCACAGGTGAGACAGCTGCTCAGGAAGGTGGAGCTGGAGCATCCCCTGGACAACCTGCCAAGCTTCAACACGCTCTACTGTGAGGTGAGCATCACCCTCCAGGATGGAGCCACCTTCACAGAGCGTGTTAATACCTTCTACGGGCACTGGAGGAGGCCACTGAGCCAGGAGGACCTGCAGGACAAGTTCAGAGCCAACGCCTGCAGGACGCTGCCTGATGACAAAGTAGAAAGTCTTCTAAGGATCATTGAGAAACTGGAAGATGTAGAAGACTGCTCCCTGTTAACTACACTTCTGAAAGGACCCTGTCCACCAGAGGAGGCTTCAAAATCTACCCCACACCTGATACTTCCTTCCCACAATCTGTCCTGAAGGGAGTCAAGCTCTAAAGCGCTTTGCATTTGGGTGTTTCAATGATTTACTGTCTCGATCGAGGGCTGATGGTTTGCTATCTGCTCAGAGTTGCATACAGCAAGGAGCAGAGTATCCAAAAACACTGTATGTTATCCAGGGGAAAAGTTCCTTCTGCCTATAGATTTCTCAAGTTCCAGATACCTAAAGTGATAGAAGAAAGGTTCACAAAGCACAAAGAAATTATCTTCCTGAGCAGCCATGTCAGTCTGGGACTCCGGTTTACCTGATCCAGGCCATGGTCTTTGCAAATACTTGCTATGCATCAGAAAGCTGGACAATGACTAAGAATGATAGAAGAAGAATTGATGCTTTTGAGTTGTGGTACTGGAGAGGAGTATTGAATATATTGTGGACTGCTAAGAGAACAACAGGTCCATTCTAGAGAGGGTGAAACCAGGCTGCTCCTTGGAGGCAAGGATGTTGAGGCTCCAGCTGACACACTTTGGGCATCTTTCAAGGAGAGGCCTGTCCTTGGAGAAGGATGTCATGCTTAGGAGGGTGGAGGGACAGTGCAGGGGAGGAAGACCCTCCATGAGATGGACTGACTCAATGACTGGGGTAATGGTGGTAGATGTGTCAGAGACAATGAAATTGGCTCAAGGTAAAGAAGGGTTCAGAGCTGTTGTATGTAGGGTCACTTCGAGTTGGAGTTGATTCAAAGGCACCTAAAAAACAACAACAAACAGCCATAAGACTGGAATTCAAATAACTTGCAATTTTTTATATAAAGTTAAATCCTTTCAGAGGAGTATTTAGGAAGTTTGTGAACCTCATGACTCGACATGAACATGAACCTATGAACATATTTGCTGACAATGGACAAGAACTCTCGTCCATTGTGACACTGACTGACTTTTTAGGACATAGATTACTATCAAGTCTTCTACAGTGAAGAAGAGCTACAGGAACTTTAAATGTAAGGAACTGCAGTTGTTAGTATTGTTGTGTACCATCAAGCTGGAACCAACCCATAGCTGACCCTCCGGTGGGTTTTCAGAGGTTATAAATCTCACAAGAGGACATTTCTCATCCTTCTGCTGAGCCACTGGTGGATTTGAACCACACTCCTTTGGGTTTGTGGTATAATTCCTTACCATAAAGCCACCAGGGCTGCCCTAAGGATAAGGAACTAGAAGGTTCAAATGAGCTCTGATGGTGCAATGGTTAAGCGTTTGGCTACTGACAAAAAAGGTTGGTGGCTCAAACTCACCAAGTGCTCCATGGGAGAAAGGCTGCCAGTCTGCTATCATTAAAATGCCAGTCTTGGAAGCCAGTGGGGCGGTTCCACTCTCTGCAGGCTAATGATGAGTCAGAATTCACTCAACTCAATGGCAAAGAATGAATGTTTTCATTTGTTAAAGTTCTACTCCTGCCATTTACTAACTATGGTCCTGGGCACATTGTGTGGTCTTGTTCTCATCTACCTCAGTTTTCCCATTTTTAGGCACTCTGGAAATTTTTCTTTTAAATTAAAAAAAAAAAAAATCAAACAAACAACTAGTTTGGCTCCATAGTGCCGTAAACATATGATATCACCTTTTAATAAGAAAAGAAAAAAAAATATTTTGAGGAAAAAACCATGCCTCAAATAAAAAAAATCTTAAATACAAAAATGGAATAAAAAGAAAAAACTGTAAGTACAATGTGATTAAATAAATACTGATTGATAAACCAATAAACATATCTTTGGGGCCTAAACAGTCAAGTAATTACTATGCAGTAATTAAATTATTAAGATTGTTAAATACACATGTATCTATAAAGCAGTAAAAAAACATCTTTAGGGCTTAAAAATTGACACTTTAGCAATATATGTAGGGAAAACATCATCAAAATTACTACATTTTGAATTTTTAGTGTCGCTTGCGGAAAACAGCACCCAAAATGACATCGGCATTGGTTCATACACTCACTGAGTTAACTCAAGAAATTATCATTAATTGATCTGTAGTGACTCCTTAAAACTCCTCTTCAACAACTAGAGCCCACATCATCCATCCCTACCCCAACACACACACAAATAGAAAAGGAGAGAGAGAGAGAATGATTCTTCACACCCTTTCTAGAATGATTAGAAGAGGGTCAAAAGCAATAATGTTGTTGCCTACATGCCAATGCAGACATTTTTTTTCAATACAGACATTTTTGGCAGACTGGTGAAATTGAAGCTGAGTCCACATACAGAGAGTAAATCTACTTCTCCCTTCCATAAAGCTGGACAACAAGGATTGCTTGTGAACCACTTTGCCCTGCAAAAGCCCATGATGAGTTTAGGCAACTCGGCTCTGATTGGTAGACATAGTAGTAAATGCTTGCTCCTTCTCTTCTCTTTCCTTAGGGATAATAACCGAGGATGCTGCTTAACTCACTGTTAATGTTTTAAGACTTTCTTCACAAGTATAATTAACCCCCCGCCTAGCTTAGAGGAGGGTACAAGAGAATCCATTCTGAGACTGGGAGGGTTGTTGCTGTTTACCATCAAGTCAGAACTGACTCATAGCTGAGCCTCCAGCCAGTAAATCACATGGGAGGAGAGTGTCCAGCTTTCTCCATGGACCAGCTAGTAGAGTCCACCCATGTTTCTTTGGGTTGGCAGCACCACCAAGCCCAGTCTGAGACTAGTACAAGAACTCACTCACTTCACAGCCCCTTCCCAGTATTTATACATACTCTGCACACACCCATGGTTCTGAGACAAAGAGCCTCAGCCACGAGCCACACCTCTGCCTACTCGGAAGAGTCCTTAATGCTGGTACTGAATGTGATTCAAGGACCTCAAGACCACTCATATGTTCCGTCATTTACTAGATGAACTCAGGGACAATACTGTTCTACTCTTGACCGAGATGCATCACAGTGGAAAAGACAAAAAAAAAAAGATGTAGGCAGAATCTGGAGAAATCGGGGCATAGGTTGACAATTTTCTCCCTCCTCTGAGAGGACACACTAAGTGTGCTCTGTTCTGCAGCAGATAAAAGCAAAGTAACATCCAGTATACAGCACTCCGGCCCAGGAAAACTCCCTAGAGACTCAGTTCAAATGTTTATTGAGAGTTGATCATATAGGCATCTTTTCACAGCAACTGCCAAAATTACAAGTTCACAGAAGGAAAGGAGGTATTCATCCACATGGATGTAAAAACATCTCTGCTCAATGAACCATCCACATGCGTCAGGAGACAGAGCAAGTGTCAAGTTCCAAGACTTCCGCCAAAGGCCAAGCTTATAGGCAGGCCTTTAAAAGATACCAGCCTCAGGCCAACCCTTAGCTATATAGTTTGTATCACTCTGAAAGACCTTTCTTTCCTGTTTGTGTAGTTTTGTAGAGTAAAACAATGCTACAGGGAAAACTGGACTTTGCCTGCACCTCAGTTACTTCCACTGCTCTAAAGAAAACTAGCATCTTCAGTAGTTTTACAACTGTTACAGGCTGATGAGTTTGATGATTTTAACCCAACCATAAGCAAAGATTATGAATGACAAAGACTATGGATTGACACTGACTAACAATGAACTCACAGACGTGAGAGATAATATGGATGGCACAAGACAGGAAAGGTTCACATCTGTTGTTCATAAGGTCACTATGAGTTGAAGTTGACTTGACAGCCCTTCGACAGCAACAAGACAACCATAGACCAAGTCCATTACTGTTGCATAATTCCAGCACACAGCAATCCTTTGGACAGAGTAGAACTGCCCCGTGGGCTTTCCAGAGTTATAAATATTTACAGAAGCAGACTGCCACACCTTTCTCCGATGGCACAAAGCTAATGGATTTAACCTACTGAGATTTTAGTTGGAAGTCAAGTACTTAACTACTGTGTCGCCAAGGCTTTTCCTGATTTTAACCTCAATACTTAAAATGAAAATATATGAGTTTAAAGGGTATTTCCATAAATTATGTTTTCTAACAAGGCATTTGACTGTGTG